CACTCTGAGAGTGATCTCTCTCTTTCCATATCTATCTCTATCTATCTATCTACCAGTATCTATCTATCTATCTATCTATCTATCTATCTATCTATCTATCTATCTATCATCTATCTATCTATCATCTATCTATCTATCTATCTATCTATCTATCTATCTATCTATCTATCTATCTATCATCTATCTATCTATCTAACCGGTATCTATCTATCTATCTATCTATCTATCTATCTATCTATCATCTATCTATCTATCATCTATCTATCTCTATCTATCTATCTATCTATCTATCTATCTATCATCTATATCTATCTATCATCTATCTATCTATCTATCTACTATCTATCTATCTATCATCTATCTATCTATCTAATCTATCATCTATCTATGTATCTATCTATCTATCTATCTAATCTATATCTATCTACTATCTATCTATCTATCATCTATCTATCTATCATCTATCTATCTATCTATCTATCTATCATTATCTATCATCTATCTATCTATAATCTATCTATCTATCTATCGTATCTATCTATCTACCGGTATCTATCTATCTATCTATCTATCTATCTACTATCTATCATCTATCATCTATCTATCTATCTATCTATCATCTATCTATCTATATCTATCATCTATCTATCTATCCATCTATCTATCTATCTATCTATCTATCTAATCTATATCTATCTACTAACTATCTATCATCTATCTATCTATCATCTATCTATCTATCATCTATCTATCATCTATCTATCTATCATCTATCTATCATCTATCTATCTATCTATCATCTATCTATCTATCTATCTATCTATCTATCTATCTATCTATCTATCATCATCTATCTATCATCTATCATCTCTCTTTCTCTCTCATCTATCTATATCTATCTATCTATATCTATCATCTATCTATCTATCTATCTATCTATCATCTATCTATCTATCATCTTTATGTATGCGTATTCGTGATTGAAATGGTGCAGTAATGTTGGAGTGCCCTGCACTAGTGAATCATCTGAGGACCGAGACGCAAAACCAGAGATCTGTTAATGTGCAGCAAAATTCTTCCAGCGTGTCAATGTCTTAGGAGCTGCTTCTGATGGCCAGAAGCCTCATAGCACTTCCACCTCTCCTTCCAGCAAGCCCCAAACCCAGTTCCAAACTGCTTCTTGCATTGCTTCCATCACAGACAGGAACACTGGCTCCTGAAAGTCTGTCAGCCTGTCAGGTAGGAAGCCTTGAGGCTACACATAAACTAATCCATTCACACATCCTTAAAACGATGCTTTAAATCTATATTGACTCTAGAACCTGCTGTCAATAAGGGTGTGTTTGAGACACATTTGAACACTCCGCCCTTAAGTAGGTTATCCATGACTTTCCCTCCTGCCCCAGGTGAATGAAGAAGGAAGTGGCGATGAGATATTGGGAAACACCTGTCCCCAACATTATTGGGCAGGTGTGGATATACCCCTCCCCAAATTATGGGGCCACTTACACCTGTTTCCAAATGGACAAACTGTAGAGTAATGCAGAATCAATATGCAACGAACTTTTTTTTTTTTGAATGAAGCTAGAGTGGAGCAGAAAATAATAAGGAAAAAACAGTTGTGTAGCAAAAGAGGGAAAGTCTGTTTTCCTAGCAAGAAAGGAGGCTTTTTCTTGTTCAAAGGAGGTGTACAAAAATGGAAGTCCATATTCGCATCCTGCTTTTATGAACATCCCTTCTGAGCTTGGAAATGGTCACAGAGACTTCTGTTCTGCATGTTCTGCACCAGCAATTTGTTCTTCCTTTGTAGCCAGCTAGATGGCTCTGTTTATCGATGCATGAAGCCCTATGATCCTGTATGCTTCAGGATATACGCTTCGCAGAGCACCCTCGGCACTTTGACTGTCACCTTCTAACCTCTTTGCTTGTGCTTCGCATGACTTACAACAAACAAGCTTATATGATAGTAGAGGACTGAATTGCATGAGCAGCAGGACTCACTGCATGTGCTACATTGCTGGAGGGCACCATAATGGACCACAAGGAAGGGATTGGGCACCTGAATGCTCCTTGCATTAAAAAGAAAAGAAAACTGCTGCACAAAAAAAACAGTTATTGTTTCTCCTAAGCATGCTTCCCCTGACCAAAAGTCTGCTCCAGCACACTCTTTTTTATGTTCTTAATGTCTCATGTACAGATGAATCTATCCTACACTGGTGTGTGTGTGTGTGTGTGTGTGTGTGTGTGTGTCATTTGGTGCCATTTACGTGAACCAACTTATAGTACAATATGAGCTAAATTAGATTTCCCATCTTTCTTATCTATCCCTGTTAGTTTGCAGAGGGAGCTTGTAATAATTGGACCAAAATGCAACAAATTCAAGCATGTGGAAGTTTGCACATATTTAAGTTACCCCTTAAAAAGCGGAGACATCACCTTGCCAACAAAGGTCCGTATAGTTAAAGCTATGGTTTTCCCAGTAGTGATGTATGGAAGTGAGAGCTGGACCATGAAGAAGGCTGATTGCCGAAGAATTGATGCTTTTGAATTATGATGTTGGAGGAGACTCTTGAGAGTCCCATGGACTGCAAGAAGATCAAACGCATCCATTCTGAAGGAAATCAGCCCTGAGTGCTCACTGGAAGGACAGATCGTGAAGCTGAGGCTCCAATACTTTGGCCACCTCATGAGAAGAGAAGACTCCCTGGAAAAGACCCTGATGTTGGGAAAGATGGAGGGCACAAGGAGAAGGGGACGACAGAGGATGAGAGGGTTGGACAGTGTTCTCGAATCTACCAGCATGAGTTTGACCAAACTGCGGGAGGCAGTGGAAGACAGAAGTGCCTGGCGTGCTCTGGTCCATGGGGTCACGAAGAGTCGGACACGACTAAACGACTAAACAACAACAACAAGTTACCCCAAAGGAGGCTATAGTCAGAAATAACAGCAGCATCTCTCTAATCATCAATATAGGCTTAAAATGAAACAACTCTCCACTTATGAATTTGTGTGTCGTTCTAGTTGGAAAGGGCTAAACTGATTGAGGGATGCCTTTATGGCTGAACATTGGTTTGTTTTCCCATGAAAAAAGTTTGACTCCTTGAGGTCTGCCAAGGACTTTCATTTGGAGGGGTTGAAAGTGCAGCTGCATTCCTTTGCTTCGCAAAAACAATTTTGCTACGATACACAATGAAAAATACAGCCCACCTGATCCTGGTTATGTTCTTTCCAGATCCTTGTTTTGAAATTAAAGAGTTATTTGGAATGGTTATGTAATCATGCAATAATTGCTGTACTTCTGTATCAAATCACTTTTTAAAAAAGAAAGAGCTAAGTTAAATAAATGGAATTCTCCTAAAGTGCTTTTCCTCCAGTAGATTGCAGACACAATATGTGTAAATTTATATCGATTGCTATACTTAAGAGAACATGATATCAGGCTCTGTCTCATGGCTAATCTTCTTGTACAAAGAAAAAACAAAGATTCCAACTGAGAAAATTTTGGGGAAATGTTAAATTTAGAAGTGTTTGAGCGATGTAGGGTGGATTGCTCACTGGGAGCCAGGGAAAGCATGATCTTTGAGAGCAACATCTGAAACAATTGTCTACGGGGGAGGAATCCACTCAGTCCACTTTTTGAAACAGATTGGCTTGATTTCATGTTCCAGAACTTGTTTGCAGATCGAAATAAAACCGTTTATGCAGCTCTCCCATTTTTGCAGTGTAGTTTTGGTCCCATAACTGCATAAAATATTTTACATTTTGCACATAAATGCATATGTAAATACATATTGTATATTTTTTTAAAATGTGCTTTTAAGGAGAAAATTGCCTTGAAATGCATTGAAAAATGTGTGGTTAAATAAATGTTTTAACATGTTTTCCCCCCTCCCCAGTATAACAGCACAAGAAGACCCATGCAATAAACATACCCCTGCCCCTCATGACAACAAGATACAGAGATCAGACAAATATATCCCACCACAAATGAATGTGCATTGCCTGAGTTTGCATGTTGGCCACTCACTGCTTCCACAGTGGGCAACAATTGTGGCCCATCATGCTCCAGCGTTACCCGTGGCAGCCAGAGCACATTCATTCACTGGCCATTGGTGGGGGAATTCCCCTTGGCCAGCGTGATTGAGGGGCTGTCTTCCCACCAAAGAGGGCAGCTTCCAACAGGCCAATCAGAGGCTCTGCTTGGAAGGGGTGCCTCGCTGAATGGCTGGGCATAATAGGTAGCTACCTTCTATTGAGTCAGACCCATCGTTCTATCTATCTTGGAATATCTGGCCATCAACTGGCTCAGTATAGTCTATTCCAGACATGTCCAACCGGTCAACCGCGATCTACAGGTGGTTGATCGTGGTCGATCGTGGGATCCTTATTGATCATGGGATTAATTGAATTGGGCAATTAATCTATCTGCCTCCAGCTCCCCTTGCTCTGTGTCATGTGGGCAGTCGTTTGGCGTCTGCTGCTGGTGATTGGGGATGCGATAGTTGGCTTTAGAGCTGCGTGTGTTTCTAAGCGACGTATTGTTTGGTGAGCAAGTTATGGCATCTCCCCCTCAACAACTCTGGGGAATCAACCCACCCCACGCACACTCCTCCTCCCTCCAATGACAATGGGTAGATCACTGCCAGTTTTTTTATACTGGGAGTAGATCACAGCCTCTTGGGAGTTGGACGTGCCTGGTCTATTCCAATTGGAAGCAGTTCTTGGCATTTCAGCCAAGGGCCATCTCCAGCCTTACCTGGAGATGCTGAAGGTTGAACCTGAGACCTTGTGCATGAAAAGCAGGTACTGTTCCACTGAGCCATGCCCCTCCTTTGAGCATCCCAATGCAAGCCAGTCCCTTGGGTTGGCTTTGGATGCCATCCAAAGTCTCCAAAAAGGAACTTTTTGGGGCGCCAGCCAACATCTTGTCTCTACCCATGGTAGACTCCAGTGTGTCCTGGTTATCCTTTTGTTTACATGTCTTCTTTCTTTCCTTTCAGACTGCTCCCCAGTACAGCCAAGTCATGAACGAAAGCAACCAAGTGAACTTTTACTGTGCCTTTTTGGATTACAGGTGCGTGACGTAGTTCTGTATTTGATCAGAGGATTGAGCCCTTTAGATAAAAAAAAGACTACAGTACCAGAGAATTACTTTGCCCCACCCTCCCCTCAGTGTTAGGTTCATGGGAACAGTCAAAACAATGAAATCATAGGCAATAAAATGAAGACGGATTACTCGCCCCATTACTAAACTAAGTAAAGGGATTTCTTACTCACATCTGGATTTTAAAAAAGGGAAGCTGGAGCACATTTCTGAACGATAAAGCCCACCATACGGATTAGAATGCTAATCATCCTTTGGAACAGTTTTCCAGCATCCGTTCCCACATTAAGATTGAAATTCAGGACAAAACTGATCATGGATTCAGAAGGCTAGCCTTTGTTGTTCAAGGGAAGCTGTGCAAGCTACATCTCCCCCCAGCCTAAAGAAAGTTCTTTTAGCTTGATTGACAAGTTATCCCCTTCCTGTGAATTTTTTCCTCCTTTCGGTGCCACTCAAAATGTAGCTAAAGGGTGGTTAAAATTTAAAATCGTTGTAGCCCTGTGACCTTCTAGTAAAGAGTGGGTAATAATGGGCATGATGACAGTGATGATAATAAAGGATAATAGAGCAACAAATGATGGAAGTCTTCAGTTTGAATAACACTGCTAAGATAATTTTATTCTGTTTATTATTTTTAAAGCCAGTTTTATTGCTGTTTTAATTGCATATGTTATACCAGTTTATGTAAACTGCTTAGATACAGTATGTTTGATAAAGCAATACAAAAATCTGGCATAATAGTAGTAGTAGTAGTAGTAGTAGTAGTAGTAATGATAAATAATAATTAATAAACCACCATACATGGCCTTAGGCAGGCCATTTTCTATCCATCTCAGTCTTCCCTCCTGCTTTCTGCAATATGGGGAGATAATGCAATTTGCTTAATAAGGTTGTTGTAAGCAGGGGCGGAGGAAGGGGGGACCAGTGGGGGTGGGCCACCCCAGGTGTCACCACTGAGGGGGGTGACAAAATGCCAGGTGGCACTCACCACAAGGCCTGCAGCATGCTCGAGCCACGCATCTCTCCCGGGAGTGACACGGTGGCATGGGTGCCCGCAGGCTCCGCGCTGCCCCAAAAAGTCCGTCCGCTGCCTCCCCCTCAGCTGTAGGGCGGCTGAGTGGGAGGAGGCAGGCAGACTCCTCGGAGGCCCCACAGAGCATCCTGCCCTGGCTAGCCCCGCCCCCACAGGCAGCTGGCCCCACCCCTGGGTGCAGGGCACGCGTGCCACCCCAGGCGCCCGATCGGCTTGCTCCGCCGCTGGTTGTAAGTAAGGGTTGCAGTTACATAATGCAGGTGTAGCACGTTGCATAACTGAAAGCTTGATCCATTAACATTATCATTGTCACATTTCCCTGGAGTGTATCTTGGCCGGACTGGCACCAGGTCTGAGGTGCTCAGGCCTTGCCAAAAGGCTTACCTGGCTGTGGTTGCAGCACTCCAAGCTACTGCTGGGTTACCCTTTACATTTCCCACAGTGCCCCAGAAAGCTGCTAGCTAAGTGTAGTCACCCCAGCCCATATGTGTCTACTCAGCCACTTAGATCTGTGGGACAGGCACTTTTAGAAGTGCCACAAAATGTTCGTTCTGCACTTGGAAGAAACCGATCTTCCACTGTGGCAGCACCGACACTTCGGAACTCCACGCCTATTGATATTAGGCAGGTGCCTTCTCTACATTGTTTTCATGCCTGCTAAAAACTTTTTTGGTTCCAGCAAGCCTACCCAGGCATGTAATTTTAGACCATAATTTTGACCCTTGATTTTTGGTAGGTCATTTAAAAAGGATGATCTTATATTTTCCAATGTAACTTGTTTTTAACGGTGGTTGCTGTTGTTGATGCTGCTGTTAGTAATTTTAATTTAATATTTTAGACTGTCTGTTGAAAATTGCTTACAGGTCTTTTGTTTTAGTAAGCGGTATATTAATTTTGTTAAACAAATAAATGGTGGGAAATTGAAAGGGTGGCCAACCAGCTGCCTCTCACAGCTCGTGGGGGATAAGGCTGTGTCCCACCCCTTGCTGCTGGAGGCAGGATTCCTCTCAATGCCAATTGCTAGGTTCTTTTGGCCAGTCATTCAGCAGCTGATTGCATTACACCCGGAGAGCAATCCTTCAACAACAGTGGTGCACAATTAGTTCAATTGTTAATTTGCATATTCAGTTCTCAGCAAAGAGTAACGTATGTGTACCATTAGCATAGCATATGGCGGATGCTGAGCTTTGTTTTGCAGTGCTTTAATGGGGCTGATTTACACAGTCAAGAAAGCTTTCTTTTTACCCCAGAGTTAGCTTTCTGACAGCAGGGCCTGCTTAGGTATAGTGGGAATTGCAGCATGTTTGAGCTGCACTTTCATGCCAGCGGATTGTTGCTGACTCCCTCTTTACTGTGATATAAAGTGCAGTGGTACCTTGCGTTACAGATGCTTCAGGACCAGGTGCGCAGCCTGGGAGTCATTTTGGACTCACAGCTGTCCATGGAGGTGCAGGTCAATTCTGTGTGCAGGGCAGCTGTCTACCAGCTCCATCTGGTATGCAGGCTGAGACCCTACCTGCCGGCGGACTTTCTTGCCAGAGTGGTGCATGCTCTAGTTCAGTGTTTCCCAACCGGTGTTCCGCGGCACACTAGTGTGCCGCGAGACGTTGCCTGGTGTGCCGCGGGAAAAATTAAAAAATTCGAAAGATATCCGGAGAGGCGGCCTTCAGGCGAGTTTTAATTTTAATTTTCCTTCTCCCACTTAATGCCCCACGCTCGCCCGAGCAGCTTGCAGTCCTCGGTAACCACGGCGACCCGAGGGAGGGGAGGGAACAGGGAAGTCGAGGGCGGCGGCGAGCCGCGATGACGTCAGTGGGCCGCGCCGCCTCGCCCTGGCACGGTGTGAGAGCCCCGGCTAGTGGCGCGAGCTTCGGAATAAGTGGGATCCGCATGCGCGAGACCGAGATCGCGGGTAAGGAGCTCAGCCCTGGGCAGGAGGAAGCGGGGCCGCGCGTGCGGGCCACATCCCCACAGAGAGCGAGCCTCCCCCGGCCCACCACTCCGGGCAGGTCCACTCGCATGAGGGGGCGGCGATGGCAACGGCCGGCAGCTTGCCTGCAATGCCATCCCTCGAGCAGGCGAGGAGCCCGGAGGCTACCAGATGCGAGTCCTCTTTCCCACCCTGCTCGGGAGTCCAGAGCACTTGGTCGCATTCAGGATCTAGAGTGGGGAAGCGGGGCTTGTGTCTGGGCTGGACACATTGGGCTGCCTGTGCCGCTCGACCTGCGGGGAGAAATCAGGGTGGGAGTCACGACCGTGAGGCAGGGCTGCCAAGTGTGGCAGAAGAGGACACGGCCGTCGCACCTGTCCTTAGGTAGGAGCTTCTTCCGTGTCGACCTGCTGCCCTAAAGTCTTGGCTTTTTTCTTGGCTTTTTGGCGGTTGGCACAGAAGGAAGGCAAGGGGGAGGGGAAAAAATTGAAACTTACACTTTCGTGTGTCCCTCCCGGCGTGACGCTGCGCGCTGACGTCACGGGGCTGTAATGGTGGTGTGCCTCGAGATTTTTTTCATGAAACAAGTGTGCCTTTGCCCAAAAAAGGTTGGGAAACACTGCTCTAGTTATCTCTCGCTTGGATTACTGCAATGCGCTCTATGTGGGGTTACCTTTGAAGGTGAACCGGAAACTACAACTAATCCAGAATGTGGCAGCTAGACTGGTGACTGGGAGTGGCCGCCGAGACCACATAACACTGGTCTTGAAAGACCTACACTGGCTCCCAGTACGTTTCTGAGCACAATTCAAAGTGTTGGTACTGACCTTTAAAGCCCTAAATGACCTCGGCCCAGTATACCTGAAGGAACGTCTCCACCCCCATCATTCAGCCTGGACACTGAGGTCCAGAACCGAGGGCCTTCTGGTGGTTCACTCACTGCAAGAAGCCAAGTTACAAGGAACCAGGCAGAGGGCCTTCTCGGTAGTGGCACCCGCCCTGTGGGATGTCCTCCCACCAGATGTCAAAGAGATGAACAACTACCAGACTTTTAGATGACATCTGAGGGCAGCCCTGTTTAGGGAAGCTTTTAATGTTTAACAGACCACTGTATTTTAATACTTTGTTGGAAGCCGCCCAGGGTGGCTGGGGAGACCCAGCCACATGGGTGGGGTATAAATTATTATTATTATTACAGACGCCTCACGTTACAGACTCCACTAGCCCAGAAATATTACCACGGGTTAAGAACTTTGCTTCAGGAGGAGAATAGAAATCGTGTGGTGGCGGCATGGTGGCAGCGGGAGGCCCCATTAGCTAAAGTGGTGCTTCAGGTTAAGAACAGTTTCAGGTTAAGAACAGACCTCTAGAACGAATTAAGTTATTAACCCAAGGTACCACTGTACAGCTGCCTTCTTGAAGCTAAGCCAAATTTGTTCTCTGCTTCAATGGGAGGCCACTTGGGAACTGAGTATCAGGTGATGGGAAAGACCCCACTCTTCCCGAGACCTTGAAGAGCTGCTGTCAGTCAGAGTAGACAGTAGTGGTCTAGATGGGCCAAGAATCTGGCCTGGCATAGGACAATGTCCTGTGCTCCAAGGTGAATTGACGTCTATGGAAGCAAGGTAGGCTATCAGGTTGGCCACAGGACGCTGGACCAAGATGGACCAGTAGCCTAGGGTTGCCATACATCTGGAAAATGGCAACCCTACATTAGACTGATTCAGCAGGCTCTCCATATATTGATGTACTTAAAGGGGTCCTCTAGCTTCAGCCACCTGTAGCAACTGCTCACCACTACAGGGACATAGAGTGTTATTTGCCTGTGTGTCTCACTAAGAATGTAAGAACAGCCCTGCTGGATCAGACCAAAGGTCCATCCCATTCAGCATCCTGTTCTCGCAGTATCCAGATGCCTTGGGGGAACCCTGAAGGAGGACCCGGGTGCAACACCCTCCCCACTTGCAATTCCCAGTAACTGGTAATCAGAGGTGGGAGCTCACTCCGTCGTGTGGATTCAAACTGCCAACCTTCCGATTGGCAAGCCCAAGAGGCTCAATGGTTTAGACTAAGCATAGGCAAACTCCGGCCCTCCAGATGTTTTGGGAGTACGACTCCCATCATCGCTGACCACTGGTCCTGTTAGCTAGGGATGATGGGAGTTGTAGTCCTAAAACATCTGGAGGGCCGGAGTTTGCCTATGTCTGGTTTAGACCACAGCGCCTAGCAGTTCAAAAGCACACCAGTGCAAGTAGATGAATAGGCACCAGTGTGGCGGGAAGGCAAATGGCATTTCCATGCACTCTGGCTTCCATCATGGTGTCCCGTTGTGCCAGAAGTGGTTTAGTCATGCTGGCCACATGACCCGGAAAGCTGTCTGCGGAGAAACGCCGGCTCCCTCGGCCTGAAAAGCGAGATGAGTCAACCCCATAGTCGCCTTTGACTGGACCTAACCTCCCAGGGGTCCTTTACCTTTTTACCTAATTAGAAGCACATTGGAGGTAGAACATGACCAGCATGGCCAGCAGCCAACGAGCCACTGATATTCTTATACTACATGAATTAGGAGGCAAATGTGTCGACCAGTCAGCTTAGATATCTTTTCAATTCAGGTTATATGTCCTTTGGGGGGTGGGGGTGGGGGGTGGGTTCCTTGCTGTGCTGCAATAACAGGTTTAGGTTGCCAATGCACACACACCCTGTTCTGTCCTTCTGGGGTTGGTCTCCCCCCCTTTTTTTCTTTTGGGGCAGTTTTAATGATGGAAAGTTACCCTGGGATGCTTTGCCTTCCTTTCTTCGGAGAGCTCTGCAGGGGCCGATCTCTTCCAATTTAAAAAGCTCGTTTCCTTTTGAAACTTCAGCAGTGAGCTCACCTGCATATTTATGACAGACTCCTGTTGTGCTCACTTTATGAGGCAACTTTTGATAGAGGTGTATAAAATTATGCACGGTTTGGAGAAGGTGGATAGGAGAAGTATCCCCCCCCACCCGCTTTCTCATAATACTAGGGCATATCCAATGAATGTTTGACGACTCACGACAGACAATAAGAAGTACTTCTTTACACAGGAGGGACGCGGGTGGCGCTGTGGTCTAAACCACAGAGCCTAGGGCTTGTCACTCGGAAGGTCGGCGGTTCGAATCCCCGTGATGGGGTGAGCTCCCATTGCTCGGTCCCTGCTCCTGCCAACCTAGCAGTTCGAAAGCATGTCAAAGTGCAAGTAGATAAATAGGTATCGCTCCGGCAGGAAGGTAAATGGCAATTCCGTGCGCTGCTCTGGTTCGCCAGAAGCGGCTTAGTCATGCTGGCCACATGACCCGGAAGCTGTACGCCGGCTCCCTCGGCCAATAAAGCGAGATGAGCGCCGCAACCCCAGAGTCGGCCACAACTGGACCTAATGGCCAGGGGTCCCTTTACCTTTACTTTACACAGGAAATAGTTGAACTATAGAATTGGCTTCATGAGAAGTGGTGATGGTCATTCACTTAGATGGCTTTAAAAGAGGATCAGGCAGTTTCATGGAGGGCAAGGCTATCAGTGGCTACTAGTCACAATGGCTATGGTCTACCTCTGCTATTGGAGGCAGCGCACCTCTGAATACCAGTCGCCAGGAATCACAAGTGGGGAGAGCGCTGTTGCACTCTGGCTCTGCTTGCCATGGGCATCTGGTTGGCTAATGTGAGAATAGAGTGTTAGTCTCTAGATGGGTCCTTGGCCCGATCCACCAGGATTATTATTTTTTATGAAACACATGTTCTGGGCTGTATCCATTGTTATTCATATTCTGAACACACCTGTTGAAATTAATGAACATGACTAACTTGGGTCCATTAATTACAATAGGTCTACTTAGTTGGATGCAAGTTTCTCTTTCTTTTTGGATTTGGGTAAAGAATCAAATGTGCACTAAACTTTAGGCTGCTGGCATTTACAGAACAATTTATTACAATTTTGCCTTATGATCAAATGAGCTTTACGGGTGTACAGTCGAGGAGATGTACATCTGTCTATATTAACTGCTCCGAGACTGTAGAATGAAGGCAAGGATAGAGTTGCTGTGCAACTGCAATTACACCAGAATGCAATTGCTATAGCTGCTTTGTGCAGTTGCAATTGCTGTAGGATGATCTCACCTGAAAAATGGATAGATTCCCTTTCTTCGTGGGCTGTAGAAGGGGTTGCAAAACTCACATCTTTTCAACTGGGCTGGCTTATCCATGAGTTTTCTTGCTGGAACGCCATTCTATCTTCTGTGCTTTGTTTTATATTGTGTTTTAATCCAGTGTTCTTCAACCTTGAATCCCCAGATGTTGTTGGACAGCAGATCCCATCACCCATGACTTTTGGCTAAACTGGTTGGGGATTATTGCAGTTATAGCCCAACAACATCTGTGAATTCAAGGTTGAAGAGCACTGTTTTAAACTGCTTGTATGCAGGGGAAAAGAGAACTTTAGAAGCTATCTTATACTGAGCCAGACTATTGGCCCATCAAACATAGTACTATCCATACTGACTGGTGGAAGCTCTTAAAGGCTTCAGACACAGTTTCCCCCGGTCCTTCATTGGAGGTGTGAAGCATTGACCCAAAGACCTTTTGTGTGCAAAGCATGCACTAAATGCTCATCCCCTTACTGTTTGTGATAGCCTTTCAAACTACTCTTTTTAGAAAGCTATTGGATCCCACCACTACACTTTTTCTGAAATTAGGAGGAGTCAAGAGGTGGGGTGTGAGGATTTCATTATATCTCTTCCCCACCCATGCGTCATAATTCAAGCAGTGGTGGGTGGTGCTGTGGTCTAAACCACTGAGCTTCTTGGGCTTGCCAATCAGAAGGTCGGCGGTTCGAATCCCCACAACAGGGTGAGCTCCCGTTGCTCTGTTCCAGCTCCTGCCAACTTAGCAGTTTGAAAGCACACCAGCAGGGGCGGAGCTTCATGCTCAGGCACTGGGGGGGAGAAGCAGGTGGGGGCAGGGCTGGCACACGTCCCGGGGGTGTGGCACACCACCCGCAGGGGCGTGGCATGCATCCTGGGGGCGTGGATTGTGCTGCTGGGGGTGGTGCGCTCCCCTTGCGCTCCTCTTCCTCTGCCAGTGCATACCAGTGCAAGTAGATAAATAAGTACCTCTGCAGCAGGAAGGTAAACGGTGTTTCCGTGAGGTCTGGCACTCATCACGGTGTCCCATTGCACCAGAAGTGGTCTAGTCCTGCTGGCCACATGACCCAGAAAGCTGTCTGTGGACATACACTGCCTCCCTCTGCCTGAAAAGCAAAATGAGCACCGCAACCCCATAGTCACCTTTGACTGGAGTTAACCGTCCAGGGGTCCTTTACCTTTATCTTAATTCAAGCTGTGGTTTTAAAAACTTAGATTAGATTTTATAGGCGATCTCAAACCTTGGAAAGGCAGTGCAGAAACGTTTTAAAGTAAATAACATGGGCACCTATTCTTATGCACTTTATAGCAACGGAAGTGGTGTTTGGTCTAATGAAGGCTGCGTGCGTGATGAAGGGGATTCCAACTATTCGGTCTGTTTGTGTAACCATCTCACAAACTTTGCCATTTTGATGCAAGTTGTACCACTCAAGGTAAGGATTTTCTTTTTCCCTTGGGCAATTTATATGAAACATTGTGTGTGTGTGTGTGTGTGTGTGTGTGTGTGTTAAAACATTTTGCTATTGAATCTTTGTTTACATTGTATGGCTCTTATTGAAATTTGGTTGGTCCTTCCACACCCCCATTTCAAGGTCTGTTTGCAGGGGTGGAAACATGTAAAATAAATAAATTAAGGGGGGGAATAAAACAAACAAATAAATTGTGGCACTTTAAAAGACTAAGAAATTTATTGTGACATAGATAGTCTTTGCTGTTTTGCAGGAAGAGACTGACCCCCCCCCCGGAAATAAATATAAAAGAATATACAGAATATTTCCTCCCAAGGTTCAGTTTATCTAGGAAAAATAATGTTCGACTTCTGCCACATGAACAAATTATTGAGAGATAATAGGCATACATTGTGTTTGTGACTTTTGAATGCTATCCCACATGGAAAGGAACCCAACTTGAATGAAGAAAGCTAGCACACCAGGCTGAAGGCTCTATTTAACCCTGATGCACTGTTCCTACAAACAGTGAGGTTTTTTACTCAGGGGATGATTCAGAACTGCAATTCCCAATCTACCACCTAAGTTGGTCCAGTTCATAATTCTACCTCCTCCTCCTGCTTATTGCGACATGAATTTTCGCAGAGGAGATGTGATTCTTCCCATGTAGGCGGTAGGCTTGACCTAATCTCATGAGGTTGATGTTGAGTGGCATTGTTAGATGGGAAGACCTCTGGTTCAACAAGGAAAATAATTGGCCACACCGACTCCAAGGGTTAGTAGGTTATGCAAGAGCCCGAGATGAAATATTTCAACATTGTGCAACCAAGACAACTGGGAATCCAACTCCCGGTGTTGCTTGCCAAAGACCTTGAAGCTGATTGGACTCATTAAGGAGGACGACAGTTACAATTAACAGGGAAAGCTGCAAGCATGAGTAGAAAGATTTCCCCTCCCCGCCAGGGACCGTAAAGTACTGGTTTTGCATTTGACTTCTCTCTCGCTGTGTGTGTTTCTCTCCACAGTTCCAGCCCAGTGCATCTCCACTGCCAATGTTTGCATAGTTCCCCAAATTTGTTTTACTCAGGGGGTGGTATTGTGTTTTTTATTATTATTGCAAACACAGCCCCCACAGTGATGAATCTTCCATCCCTTCTTTAACACACTGGCCATAATACTATAAACATGGATTTGCAGCAGGCATAGGCAAACCTGGCCCTCCAGATGTTCTGGGACTACAACTCCCATCATCCCTAGCTAACAGGACCAGTGGTCAGGGATGATGGGAGTTGTAGTCCCAAAAACATCTGGAGGGCCGAGTTTGCATATGCCTGATTCACAGCCATGAGCCACAGGGCTGGCTCTATTATTAGGCAGAGTGAGATGGGCGTCTCAGGTGGCTGACACAGGGAGTGGTAGCAAAGCACTTTAGGACAGAGCTGTATGTGCCGTGAAGCCTGCCATAAACCTTTGCTGGCCTGGTGTTTTCAGCTGCAGAGGGATGCTGTTTAGGGTGCTAAGTGGTGAGGAATGATGGGAGTTGTATTCCAGCAACATCTGGAGGGCCACAGGTCCCCCATCTCTGATTTAGAAGATCGCTAAAGGTGCTTCCTCAGTGGCTAGAACATATTGCTGAAGCGAGTGGGTGGCTGGCCTAGTAGACACATCTATCAGTCACTGGGGCAAAGGATATCAGGATTCTGCTGTGTGTATATGGGTTTGTTGTTGTTTAGTCGTTTAGTCGTGTCTGACTCTTCGTAACCCCATGGACCAGAGCATGCCAGGCACTTCTGTCTTCCACTGCCTCTCGCAGTTTGGTCAGACTCATGTTTGTAGCTTCGAGAACACTGTCCAACCATCTCGTCCTCTGTTGTCCCCTTCTCCTTGTGCCCTCCATCTTTCCCAACATCAGGGTCTTTTCCAGGGAGTCTTCTCTTCTCATGAGGTGGCCAAAGTATTGGAGCCTCAGCTTCACGATCTGTCCTTCCAGTGAACACTCAGGGCTGATTTCCTTAAGAATGGATATGTTTGATCTTCTTGCAGTCCATGGGACTCTCAAGAGTCTCCTCCAGCACCATAATTCAAAAGCATCAATTCTTCAGCGATCAGCCTTCTTTATGGTCCAGCTCTCACTTCCATACATCACTACTGGGAAAACCATGGCTTTAACTATATGGACCTTTGTTGGTAAGGTGATGTCTCTGCTTTTTAAGATGCTGTCTAGGTTTGTCATTGCTTTTCTCCTAAGAAGCAGTCTTTTAATTTCGTGACTGCTGTCACCATCTGCAGTGATCATGGAGCCCAAGAAAGTAAAATCTCTCACTGCCTCCATTTCTTCCCCTTCTATTTGCCAGGAGGTGATGGGACCAGTGACCATCATCTTCGTTTTTTTGATGTTGAGCTTCAGACCATATTTTGCTCTCTCCTCTTTCACCCTCAAAAAAAGCTTCTTTAATTCCTCCTCACTTTCTGCCATCAAGGTTGTGTCATCTGCATATCTGAGGTTGTTGATATTTCTTCCGGCAATCTTAATTCCGATTTGGGATTCATCCAGCCCAGCCTTTAGCATTATGAATTCTGCATATAAGTTAAATAAGCAGGGAGACAATATACAGCCTTGCCGTACTCCTTTCCCAATTTTGTATATGGGTAGAGAGCGCCTTAAATCCCAGCTAGCAGGCCAGTGTGCCAGTCTATAAGTCAGTTTGAGGTCACGAGGTTCCCAATTCAGGTCACTGAGTGCGTGCGCGCGCGCACACACAAACACGTACATTGCCTGGAAGCTGATCTGATGTGCTCCAAGAAGTGTACTCATAGCAAATCAAGCAGTGGTGCAATAAATATGCCCGTGACTTGTGAGCCCTGCACTCAGGAAAGCAGGAGTGGGGACATATGTTTTTTTCTGCCAAGGCCAGTGGTGACTGGTGGGACACAATGAGCGGAAGCCAACAGGAGGTGGCACCAGAACCAATGACAAGGCAGAGCCAACTAATTCTAGCTTTGACCCCATCTTCCTCCCTGCCATGCCCTCCAAGGGCAACTGGGACTAACGCGGATGGAGCTGGCAGGCTGTGTCACCCCCTGGTAAAGGTAAAGGTAAAGGTAAAGGTAAAGGTAAAGAGACCCCTGACCGTTAGGTCCAGTCGTGGCCGACTCTGGGGTTGCTGCACTCATCTCACTTTACTAGCCGAGGGAGCCGGCGTACAGCTTCCGGGTCATGTGGCCAGCATGGCTAAGCCGCTTCTGGCGAAACAGAGCAGTGCATGGAAATGCCGTTTACCTTCCCGCCGGAGCGGTAACTATTTATCTACTTGCACTTTGCCGTGCTTTCAAACTGCTAGGTTGGCAGGAGCAGAGACCGAGCAACGGGAGCTCACTCCGTTGTGGGGATTCAAATGCCGACCTTCTGATCGGCAAGTCCTAGGCTCTGTGGTTTAACCCACAGTGCCACCCGTGTCCCTGTCACCCCCTGGACTGGTTGTAAATAAGTAAGTTGCTGCTGGCAAAGAACAGCCTGAGCTTGGAGGGGCTCCAGGCTAATGGCCCAGCCTCCAGTTGCTTATTGGTCAAGGGCCATTTTTAGGCATCTCTTGAGAGTGATGGGGACGGCTGAAACCAATGGCTGCAATTCAACTGTTTTTAATATTGAATTTAAATTGTTGCAAGCTGCTCTGGGACCTGATAGTGAAGGGCAGGTAATAAATTTAATAAATCAACAATAAAGGGTCAGAGCAAAAAGTTGGCATGGCCACCCCTTCTCTTCCCTCCTCCCCCTGCTCTCTGTCCCCACTAAGCTCAGGGAGGAAGAGATTGCTCTTGCAAGAGAGATCTGAACTGATTGCTTGCGGAAAGTTTTGCATGGCTCCTCCCAGTGGTGGAACTTGGGGTCTCAAATTTCAGCGGCATTGTGGGCGAAGCCAATGTTTGGTGCCCCCCCCAGGCCTCTCGCACTCCATTCTAAATAATAGTTGTGGCACCCCCTGTGGCTCCCTTGAGGCTCTGCAGGTGAACTGGTTAAGGTAAAGCTAAAGGGACCCCCGACCATTAGGTCCAGACTCTGGGGTTGCGGCGCTCATCTCGGTTTATTGGCCGAGGGAGCCAGCGTACAGCTTCCAGGTCATGTGGCCAGCATGACTAAGCCACTTCTGGCGAACCAGAGCAGCGCACGGAAACGCCGTTTACCTTCCCGCTGGAGTGGTACCTATTTATCTACTTGCACTTTGAGGTGCTTTCGAACTGCTAGGTTGGCAGGAGCAGGGACCGAGCAACGGGAGCTCACCCCGTCATGGGGATTCGAACTGCCGACCTTCTGATCGGCAAGCCCTAGGCTCTGTGGTTTAACCCACAGCGCCATCCGCGTGAACTGGTTGCATTCCCCTAAATCTGCCTCGGCTCCCCCTTCCATAATTCCAGCCATTTTGGCTTCCCCTCCTTCTTGCGCTCCTCCTGGGCTTCTCTCCACTTGCGTGAAATTAGGCTGGGGGCCACATGATATTAGGAGAGGGCCTTATGCATTCAAGCTGCCTGTCCCTACACTAACCACAACCACACACACACACACACACACACACACACACACACTGCCTCATAACAAGCTCAGCCTCGCTCTCCCCCTCTTCCCTCCACGCCTCGCGCAAGGCATGCTCAGTCACACAGTCAAGAAACCACAGAGAGAAAACCGCTCAGGATCTTGTGACGGATTTGTGAGTCGGTTAACCGCAGTTTTCAACTCCAGCCAGATTGAAGATATTAATACTTGAGATACTTTTTTTTTATTGCGCCTGAGGAACGTAAGGAATGGAAAACTCAAAACAGGGCGAGCATTTCTTCATTGCTAGCTTGCTTTTACAGACTCTCCTCTCTTTGGCCCAGAACTCTAGGTTAAACTACCCAGTTACTCGACATTTCTTTCTTTCTTCAATGTCTTTCCAAGAAATTTTCCTAAAGGGTTTGAGCTCGTCTCACAGTGTTGGAGCAGAAGAGAT